AATAGGGCACCTTGGTCAGTGGCCCTACACTTTAAACTGTGACTTGAGGTACCGCAATTATCAATTTCGGTCAGACATAGCATCAGACTCTTGAAGATGGCATGTCGATTTTCTGCTTAATACACACATAATGTCTGTTCACAATTAAATTCTGTGTCCTGAGGAAACCTAGGTTTTGTCACCAAAACTACTTTTGGCACAGGCAACAAAGCTACTTGGTTAGGTTTAGAAAAAAAATAATTCATTCATTCATTAGGCTGGAGCCTATCCCAGGTGACATTGGGCAAGGGCCGGGGTACACCTTGGACACATCACCAGACTATCACAGGGCTGACACATAGAGACAGACAACCATTCACACTCACATTGACACCAAAGGGCAATGTAGAGTCACCAGTTAACCTGCATGTCTTTGGACTGTGGGAGGATGCTGGAGTTCCTGGAGAAAACCCATGCTGACACAGGGAGAACATGCAAACTCTGCACAGAAGGGCTCCCCCACCCTGTGGTTTGAACCCCCCAGGTTCCCAGGTCCTCTTGCTGCAAGGCGATAGTGCTAACCAGTGCACCACCATAGTTCAGAATAAAAAAAATACACTTGTCATGTACCTTGCATCAGTGAACAAGTCATGTGTGTCATGTGACACATATGACACATCAACCACGAAACCTCCTGCCCTACTCAGACTTTCTTGCTCTTAATAGTTCCTCATTGCCATGGAAGGGTTTACACTGGAGTTAGCTGAAAGCCCGTTGTCAGATGCTACAGGGGCAACGTATGCATCAGAATCAAATGCTGACCAAGCTGCTGTTTCTGATGCCCTGGGAATAAGAACAGGCTGAGTATTGATGGTCGTAGATGGTATTCCATGCAGTGCTAACTACATGTTTTAGAAACCAGCACAGAATCAGTACTTGCACTGATTAAGGATTAAAACAAAAGTCAAATACTAATTCATACCATCATGAAAGACTGTATAGAAAGGCTAATACTTTACCTTGTTTCTTTCAGGATGCAGTTCTTCATTTTCAGCTATGTGACAAAAGATCAGCCTGATTAGATAAAAATCACTGACCAAATACTTTGCTTTGGATTTATTTGTTACAGGTTTATACAACAGGTTGTGCAACAAATGATACATCAGCTGTACCTTTCTGACGTTGCTTGATTTTAACAGCCAGAACAATGACAGCCACCATGAAGAAAACCATCAGAGCGCCCAGGATCACAGTCATGAGGTTTCTTAGTGCATCATGGTCGTCTACAAGAAGGATTTTTAATTTAGGTTTCTCGTGTATTTATAATGGCTTTAAACATTGTTAATATTACAAACCAAATATTGCTCATTATTACTGTCATATTGATTATATTAATATTAATATCATCTTGAGAAAAATATTATTATTATTTTTTTTTTAAAAAAAGCCTTACTTTCAGTCTCAAAATCCACTTCGTCATCCAAATCAGCATTACCTTGGAAATAAATAAAATAATAAGAATAAGAATAAGAATAATGTGTAATGGTAGTTAGGCTTAATCTTACCTTGAATTTTCAAATGTGTTGCATCGCCAATGACTGTATGTGTGTCTTTGTAGAATCCACAGAAATACACTCCAGAGTCAGATAAATCCACTCGCTTGATTTTAAGAAAGACAGTGGAGATGTTGGAGCTCATTTCAAATCCACTTTGAAATCCATCACAGAACGAAGCCACACCATCAGCCCAGTACATGGAGGAGATGCAGCTGGGCTTGGTTCTGTTGATCAGTCTGAACCAGTCGGTCTGACATGGTCTGCTGGAAATGTTGGTGCACGTCAGTGTGACTTCTTCACCAGGCTGGACCTCCACAGTCTGAGACTCCGAACCTGAGACAGAGATCCAGCCTGAAACAAACAGTAGAGTCAGCAAGAGATTTACCCCTTTTGGATAGAGTTGAAATTCTAGTGTTACATGATTTGATGCTGAGTATAATCAAGTGTCAGTACTTACTGAGGCTGCAGAGAAGTAAAGCTGTTGTCAAAGTGAAGCTCCTCATTGTGCGTTTCATTGTGTCACTGCGAGAACAGTTTGTGCCACTGAGCTCTTATAAAGAGGTTTAGAGAGGCGGGGTGTCTTTTGTTTTGATGTTGCCGCTCACACTAACTTGCCATTTATGCGGCGCCTTTATACATATTTAAGCTCAAGATAGTTTGGTTCAAGGAGACTCATATAATATCATGTTATATCTGTGTCAGATGCAATTTGAGAGAAAACTTGCCACAAATAATTGCACATGCAGAACAACCTCTCCCTCCATTGGCATGAAAAGCAATTACTAAAAGGTGGAAGAGTAGGAGTAATGATAAAAACAAAATCTGACTAAGTGCAATGGAAGTAGAGCTACTGAATCATGACGTATATTAAGTGGTATAGTGAAGGGTATATGCAGGTTTACAGGGCATTTCTGGCTGGTTACAGCATACCCACCTATCAGCCAAAAAAACATTGAAATATATGGGAGACCACTTCCTGCTTCATAACATACCTATCTACCTAGTAGTACACCCACCTCATCAGCTACTACTACACCACTGCGTACATCAAGCATGTCACACATCACTCGTCACTGAAAAACTGATTACTGAGTATTCCTTAAATGAATTCTATCACACTGAGATTTGATTGTCACTCTGCAATGATTTAATGGCACCCAGTTACCCCTATCGATGCCCCAAACTCCCAGTATTTACTAGTAGTAGCTGAGAATGTGCATTAATTTGCTTTTTTTCCAATTTCCTGAAAATTTGGTTAAAATTGAAGCTACATTTGGATAGAAACTTGACCATAGATGGATATCATGTATTAGATGGTAATGTCAGCGGGTCAGTTGGTCCATCAGCCTACCTTTTTGTCTCTTTGGTCCAGGCAAAAATGTCCTTTTCCTCTAGCACCACTGTAAGGTTGACCTTTATGATTTTCAGTGAGATACCCAGCAAATGTTTGATGAATTGCCATGAAATTTGACATCCCCAAACACTGACACTGTGACGATGTTAGCATGCTGCTGCACCTGGCTCCAAACATAGCTGTGCCTACGTACAGCCTCACAGAGACACTAACATGGCCGTAGAATCTTGTGGCCCTATTTAAATAACCTTTAGCGCATGATCTGAAATGCATGGCGCAAGTATATTTAGAGCGTGTCGAGTGCCACTTTGCTAGTTAAATGGCGCTAAATATGGGCGTGAAGTAAGGTGCAAGGGGCAAAGGGGTTCCATTTAGCCCCTTAACTAATCACAGGTGTGTTTAGGGTGTAACATGAATTCAATAACCAGATTTTAATCTTCTATTCTATATAAATTCAGGTGCACTTGCACCTGGCGCATTGCTGTTTACATGGCGTATTTGGCAAATTGGAGAAGCGTGCCATTTTCTGCAGTAATGTCACTACAGCAAATATCGTGGTACATTTACACAGCAAAACTAAAAACTGTAGTTATAAACTTGAGAGAGGAAACAACTAACCTTTTAGCTTCTGAAATAATCAGTGAAGTTATGCTTCTTCTTGTGTGTAAATGCGCACAGTTTGTGTAACAGTGTGTAACAGCAGCTCTGCTCTGCTCTCTGCTATATTCACATTTTAGAGAATATATTTTCCTCATTAATGATGTATTATTTCACCCACCTGTAACTGACCCCTGTGTGTGTGTAAGGACCGTGGTGTACGCATTGTGAACCTGCCTATGTCTAATCAAAAGCGCCTGATTTTAGTGACCTACATTCACATTGGTGCACAGATGGATGCAAGTACATTTTCCATGAATATGACAACTGCATCAGTCTGGAACTAGCAATGACAGTTGCCCTGCGCTGTCACCCACTTTACATTGAGTGTAAGACAGGGCCCCACATATTGTTTAAATGTGTAGCCTACTATGCAGGAATTGTTAGTTTCTGTTTGTAAGCAGTATCACCAGTGAAAGTAAAAGCCAACCCACATTTACTCTCACTCACTGTATTTGCGCTCTTTTCTGAGCTGTATCTATGATTTTCATAGCTTCCTCTTGCTGCTTACAGCCTGACGCCTTTTCACAACCTTTTAGTAGTCCCGACCTCACCAACCTGCTGTGCCCAGGAACAGCCCAAACACAGCATAATTAAAAGAACATAATAAACTACAGACAGTGAGCAGGGTCTCTGCAGATAAATACACCACCACACACTTCTAGTGGAATATAAGGGATTGATTAGGACAGATCACTTTTGAATGAGTCTGCACAGTGTTTGTTTGGTTTTTTTTTTATAGTAAAATCTGGCATAGAATACCATTGGCATTTACATTCTCCTTCCTGTTGCTGTGTGTGCTCTTGATTATGAAAATACCTGTTACTTATTACAGCATACTGCCCTGTTCTCTAATGAAACTATGTCAGTGAACATATTTCAACATAGGAACCTGACAGATTAGACTGTAACCTGAGACTATGCCTTAGGTATGTGCACAATGAAAAGTGAAACAGTTGCATCAGACATCTCTGATCAGTTTTGAATGTAGATGTTGACGTTAAGTATAAACGTGATTTTGTGTCAGTGATGAGGAGTAGAGTGATTTAGCAGTGTCAGAAGAGACTGATATATGTTTTAAGGGTGCATTAGACAAATTACTGAAATAGCTGTGTTTGTCCACAATTTCTACAAATGTCTAAATACAGCAGCTAGTTTAATGTTGCCATAAAATAAGCAGGCTAGTTTTCACAGCTTCCTTTTATACTTTCCACAGAGCTTTGACTTCAGAGACCTTATTGCTCTTCACCTCAGTTGTTCTCAGACCACACTGTGCTGTCTCTTCCTGTTAAACAAGTCATGTGTACATCACTCACTCCTCTGTGCACAGACCATTTCAGCCATCAGTGTCCTCTCTGACTCCTCCTCTATCACACATTACACATGCTGTTTTTACTCTCAGACAAAGTGAGAGACAGAAAGAAACATGAGCAAGAAAATACAGAAGCATCATTTCAGATTTATTTTTTGCCAGTGAATCAACTCACACACAGACCACACATAAACCCCAACAGTAGATGAATATGATAAAGCATCAGTTCCACTCTGAGCTGCTGTTCCAGATGTTTCCTGAGTCTATCTGGTGGCAGCATACACAACATGTGGCTCCACCTCTCTCTCAGATGGAGGTCTGCGGCTTCTTTTTGGCTTTGCCTGGAAACGTAGAGCTGCGTAGTTCAGTTCATCTGAGCCCAGATCCTGTGAATCAGAGTATTTAGAGTCACATAACATATCACACACACTGTGGCTGAGTTTGAAACAAACAAATAAACAAACAAAAATGTTAATTTGGTGGATTTGTGGGTTGTTTCATGAAGGAGCCATAATGTAGCTAACTCTTTTTCATAGAAACCCACCTTTCTGCACAATGGAATTATACTGATTTAAACCAAGGCTGATCAAACCTCACTAACTTACATTAACTACACCTCACAGTGGCCATGTTTGAATCATAGCGTATGAAATAATGGACGTTGCCACCGTGGCGTCATCCACTGGTTCATGTACTCCCATTCTGAAGCCTCAAGTTCAACATTTCCACCAGCGCCATTTTGATGTTTTTGAGCGTCCAGTGACCATCTTTGGTCACTTCTGAGGTTAGAGCTATGGAGGAGTGAGGGATGGATCTGGAACCATAAACATGTTTATATCTGCTGTAAGTTGGCAATTTTAACATGGGTGTCTATGACTTCTTGACAAAATATCTTTGGATTGAATTGATGGAGCATTTCCATGTTTCGAGAAAAAACCCCAAAACCATTGTCACATAGTTCCGGCTCTAGAACCCTAGCCCTTGAGAGGGGTTGGACTCTCTCCTTTGCTGGAGTTGCTCTGGGTGAGAGGCGGAGGGCCGGGGTGGGCTTTCTGATAGCCCCCAGACTCTCTGCCTGTACGTTGGGGTTTACCCCGGTAGACGAAAGGGTTGCTTCCCTGCACCTTCGGGTCAGGGAACGGGTCCTGACTGTTGTCTGTGCTTATGCACCGAACAACAGTTCAGAGTACCCACCCTTTTTGGAGTCCCTGGGACGGGTGCTGAACAGGGCCCCGACCGGGGACTCCATTGTTCTGCTGGGGGACTTCAACGCTCATGTGGGCAATGACAGCAGGACCTGGAGGGGCGTGATTGGGAGGAACTGCCTGCCCGATCTGAACCCGAGTGGTGTTCAGTTATTGGACTTCTGTGCGGGTCGCAGTTTGGCCATAACTAACACCATGTTCAAACCTAAGGATGTCCATTGGTGCATGTGGCACCAGGACAGCCAAGGTCGCAGGTCAGTGATCGACTTTGTAGTCGTATCATTTGACCTGTGGCCATATGTTCTGGACACTCGGGTGAAGAGCAGAGCTGTCAACTGATCACCACCTGGTGGTGAGTTGGATCAGATGGTGGGGGAAGACGCCGCGCAGACCTGGCAGGCCCAAACGAACAGTGAGGGTCTGCTGGGAATGCCTGGCGGAAGAACCTGTCCAGATGATCTTCAACTCCCACCTCCGGGAGAGCTTCGACCGCGTCCCGAGGACAGAGGGGGACATTGAGTCCGAACGGGCCTTGTTCCGCTCTGCCATTGTCGAGGTGGTGGTTGCAAGCTGTGGCCACAAGGCCGCTGGGGCCAGTCGCGGCGGTAATCCCTGAACCCGCTGGTGGACACCAGAGGTGAGGGGAGCCGTCAGGCTGAAGAAGGAGGCCTACAGGGCATGGTTGGTCTGTGGGTCTCCGGAAGCAGCCGACGGGTACCGGCAGGCCAAGCGGAGCGCAGCGGCGGCAGTCATGGAGGCAAAAACTCGGGCGTGGGAGGAGTTCGGTGAGGCCATGGAGGAAGACTATCGATCGGCTCCAAAGAGGTTCTGGCAAACCATCCGGCGCCTCAGGGGGGGAAGGCAGCAACTTGCTCACACTGTTTACAGTGGGGGTGGGGAGCTGCTGACATCAACTGGGGACATTGTCGGGCGGTGGAAGGAATACTTTGAGGAGCTCCTCAATCCCACCAACACGTATTCCAGTGAGGAAACAGAGACGGGGGTCTCGGGGGTGGGTCGTCCAATTTCTGGGGCAGAAGTTGCTGAGGTAGTGAAACAACTCCAAGGCGGCGGAGCCCCGGGGGTGGATGAGATTCGTCCTGGATATCTCTAGGCTCTGAATGTTGTAGGGCTGTCCTGGCTGACACGCCTCTGCAACATTGCATGGACATCGGAGGCAGTGCCTCTGGAGTGGCAGACTGGGGTGGTGGTCCCCATTTTCAAGAAAGGGGACCAGAGGGTGCGTTCCAGCTATAGGGGTTCACACTCCTCAGCCTACCTGGTAAGGTCTACTCCAGGGTGCTGGAGAAGAGGGTCTGGTCGATAGTTGAACCTCAGATTGAGGAGGAGCAATGTGGTTTTCGTCCCGGACGTGGAACCGTGGACCAGCTCTTTACCCTCGCCAGGGTGCTGGAGGGGGCATGGGAGTTTGCCCAACCAGTCCACATGTGTTTTGTGGATTTGGAGAAGGCTTACGACCGTGTCCCCAGGGGCATCCCGTGGGGGGTGCTCCGGGAGTATGGGGTTGGTGGCCCCTTGCTAAGGGCCATCCAGTCCCTGTACCGAAGGAGCATGAGTCTGGTTCACGTGGCTGGCAGTAAGTCGGACCTGTTCCCGGTGAGGGTTGGACTCCGCCAGGGCTGCCCTTTGTCACCGGTTCTGTTCATAACTTTTATAGACAGAATTTCTAGGCGCAGCCGAGTGGTGGAGGGTGTCAGGTTCGGTGATGGGAGGATCTCGTCCCTGCTTTTTGCGGATGACGTGGTCCTCCTAGCTCCATCGAACAGTGACCTCCAGCTCTCGCTGGGGCGGTTCACAGCCAAGTGTGAAGCGGCTGGGATGAGAATCAGCAACTCCAAGTCTGAGGCCATGGTCCTCAGCCGGAAAAGGGTGGATTGCCCACTCCAGGTCAGGGGGGAGGTCCTTCCTCAGGTGGAGGAGTTTAAGTATCTCGGGATCTTGTTCACTAGTGAGGGTAGGATGGAGTGGGAGATTGACAGGCGGATTGGGGCGGCGTCAGCAGTGATGCAGGGGCTTAACCGGTCCTTTGTGGTGAAGAGGGAGCTTAGCCAGAAAGCGAAGTTCTCAATTTACCGGTCGATCTACGTTCCAACCCTCACCTATGGTCACGAGCTCTGGGTAGTGACCAAAAGAATGAGATCGCGAGTACAAGCGGCCGAAATGAGTTTCCTCCGCAGGGTGGCTGGGCTCAGCCTTAGGGATAGGGTGAGGAGCTCAGACATCCGGGAGAGACTCGGAGTAGAGCCGCTGCTCCTCCACATCGAGAGGATCCAGTTGAGGTGGTTCAGGCATCTGGTAAGGATGCCTTCCGGATGCCTCCCTTGGGAGGTGTTTTGGGCATGTCCAACCGGGAGGAGACCTCGGGGCCGCCCCAGAACACGCTGGAGGGACTACATCACCCGGCTGACCTGGGAACACCTCGGGGTTCCCACGGAAGAGCTGACGGAAGTGGCTGGGGAGAGGACTGTCTGGGCTTCTTTGCTGAGGCTGCTGCCCCTGCAACCTGGACCAGTACGAGTACGAGTACGAGAACTTATATTTACTATAAGTAGTTACATCCCATATTCAACAAATATACTTTTATTAATCCTAACCAAGTATTATTTTTTAAAAAACTGAACCTAACCTGGTTGTTTTAGTGACCGTTTTATAGCATTAACTACATGTTTCAAATTGTGACCGTTCTAGTATATAATTTAACTCATTACGTGCCAGTTATATGTAATTTCACTTATTTAATATTTATCTGACTACAGTTGCCGATGGGCTTGTCACTCCCTCATGATGAAAGTCAAAGTCATTGCTGTTTGCTGGCTCCACAATGGGAGATTGAACTCCCTATTGACATCATGAGAGCAGAAAGTTATTCACATTATATGTCTTAGACTGAAAATTAATTTGTTTAGACTACACCTGTCTCTGAATGTAGCACTTGAAGTACATCAGCATATTTGATAAACTGAATGTATGATTCTTGCATGTTTTGGGGTCATGCCCACATGGTGGTGAATGCACTTATTGTATGTCACTTTGGATAGAAGTGTCAGCTAATTAAATGTAATTTAATGAGTTTGCCACTTGCGGCAGTTCAAGACAAAGATCATTAACAGACTTGTGTTTAAATGCATCTATAAAACCATAACACACAGTGTATTTAAGTAAATGTTGGGTTCACCTTGTTTCTCTCTGGCTGCGGCTCTTCATTCACAGCTAAATGACAAAAGACAAAAGTCTCCTTAGTGAATTATTACTGAACACGTGCTTTGCTTTGTATTTGTCAAACATTTGTAACAAAAAATAAATCAGTTGTACCTGTCTGAAGTTTCCAGATTTTTACAACCAGAACAATGACGACGATAGTGAGGGAGACAGTCAGACCAACTTGGATCATGCTTAAAAGGTTTGTCATTCCATCAGGCTCCTCTATGAGACAAATGATAGAATTTGACTATGTTCTTTTTAATCTGGTGGCTTTAGATTTGCACAATAGTAATACTGGCTCTGTAAAGTGTGCAAAAAAAAATAACAACCTTACTTTCAGTCTCAAAATCCACATCACCATCAGATCCACCATTACCTTTTAAGAAAAAGAAACACTACTGTGACACTAATTTGAGATATGCTACAAATATGATCTCTGAAAGAAGCACGGCTTAATCTTACCTTGAACTTTTAAATGTGTTGCACCGGCAATGACTGTATGTTTGCCTTTGTAGAATCCACAGAAATACAGTCCAGAGTCAGATAAATCCACCCACTTGATTTTAAGAAAGACAGTGGAGATGTTGGAGCTCATTTCAAATCCACTTTGAAATCCATCACAGAACGAAGCCACACCATCAGCCCAGTACATGGAGGAGATGCAGCTGGGCTTGGTTCTGTTGATCAGTCTGAACCAGTCGGTCTGACATGGTCTGCTGGAAATGTTGGTGCACGTCAGTGTGACTTCTTCACCAGGCTGGACCTCCACAGTCTGAGACTCCGAACCTGAGACAGAGATCCAGCCTGAAACAAACAGCAGAGTTAAGAGATTTACTTATAAGTGTACAATGCAACAGTTACCATAATAAGATGGCAAGAATTGATTAATTTAGTTCCAGTTTGCAAAGTAAAATTCTGGTGGGTTTCTGGTTACACAAAGTGTGAGTACTTACTGAGGCAGCAGAGAAGTAAAGCTGAAGTAAAGGTGAAGTTCCTCATTGTGCCTTTAGTCTTGTCAATGCAAGCGTAGTTAATACCACTGAGCTCTTATAAAGGGGTTTAGAGAGGCGGGGTGTTTTTTTGTTTTTGCCCTTGCCGCTCACACTGTGACTTTGCTCATATTTGAGCTCATGAAGGTTAGGTATGAGTGATGCCTGTAATACGAAGTTATATCTGTGTCAGATGTAGCCTGAGATTAAACTTGCCATAAAGAATTACAGATGCATGAAGAACAATTCATCTCAGTGACTCATACAGTTTCATACAGCCATCACTGAAAGCATCTTCACCTAATCCATAACAGTGTTGTATGACACATGTAATATCAAAGTGAGGAGCCTGTAGTGTTGTATTTTTACGCTTGATGCTGCTATCTCTGGATACAATGTTTAGGATTATTATTATGTATTTTCATGTGTCCTGTGATCATCTACCAAGGACCACCTGCCATATAGTAATGTTCTCAAAAGGTTCATTCACCCTGTATCTTTGTGTCAGATTCAGAAACCCAAGCAAATTTATGGAGTTTTCTTGCTGATGCTTAGATCTGTCCTAGTTGTAATCACTAACATGCCTTTTTTAAGCCTTTTCAGTTGATTTTCCATTTACATTACAAGCAATTGTGGAAACTTGAGTTGTGTTTACACGTCCCTGCTTATGTAATAACATCTTATCATACAGAAGGGTACACGCATGGTTTCCATTTCTCAAGTCACTGGATTTTAAAAAAACAACTAAGTAAAAACAACAAAAATTTAAAACAAAAAAATTGAAATATTGCTAACACGTGTTTACACTTGGCCAGTGCGAAAAAGTTGGTATATCTCTCATAATAGAATAACCACAAACAACCAAGACTATAGGAAACAGACTTAGCTAAAAAATCATGATGTATGTGAAGCATGTCATGTAAAGGTTCTGTATACGACATTCAGAGCATTAACATGACAGCAAACAACCAAGATGTAAAGACATATGTAAAGATATGATGGAGTAATGGCGTCCTGAGCAGAGAGTGAAGTCAAACTCTTTTGTGTATGTTGTAATCTGAGCTTCTCTGTTCTTTGTTAGAAGCGTGTGCATGTTAGTACATGCTTGTATCCCACTGGCTAGCTAATTACTGCCACTCTGCACTGCGCTCACACAGTGGTTACCACCGATAACACTATCCTGATCCAAGGGGCCAGAGTGGTCAGCCCCCCCCCAGGAACAGCGCCAGGCTTTGAAGCCATTTTGACATAGGGGCCAAATTGCAGAATTGCAACCTCTGGGTCCGTCATATGCCTGTGCCCAGAAAAACTTTTTTCCCATAGACTTACATCGTGAAAAAGTCATCTGTACATCAATGGATACATTTCATGAGTGTCACAACCCCCATGAAATAACTTGTTTAAGTATCAGGACTTGATCTATTTGGTCCGATAACATTTTGAAAGTCGAGAAGAGCTGCATGATGAAATATATTTTTCCCCATTCAAGTTATTACTTGTTCTATGAGTCCAACAAATTTGGAAGCAAAGCAGAAATTTTTTGGGGCTTCATTTGCCATTGAGCACTTTCATGAACGGGGCCCCACCTCCAATGCTGTATCCAGTTCTCTCTATACATCCATGGTAATTGTGTTGTGGTGGAAGCATAACACCCACCATCTGGTTCCCCCCCGTCGCTTAACACCATCTGTTTGCGAATTAGTGCTTTCTCAGATAGCAAAAGCATTACTCACCCTGCTCTCTCTCTGATTGGTTACTACCTGTTGCCTTTGTTGTTTCAATTGGTTAGAGTTAGGCAAGAGGAATGATATTGGTTAGGGTAAGAATGTCAGGGTAAGCCAATCAGAGGCAGAGCAAGGCAGTGCAGGGCAAGTCAGGCCTTCACTATTCTAGAAATGCAAATTCGCCAACTGTTCACCTTGGTGCCCCCAACTCCTAATATTCACAGAACAGTAGCTGATGGAAAAGAGCATTATTCACTTTTTTTTTGCATATTTTCTTGAAATTTGGTTAAAAGTTGTACTACATTTGAATGGAAAGTTGACTTGTTTATTACTAGAGTAATGGCAATGTTGGTCATTTGGTCACCTGACTGGTCTTTAACTTTGGTCCTAACTGAAATATCCATCAACGTTTTTAAATGTTTTGCTATGAAAATTTGTCCAGACATTCATGGTGCCCAGGAGATGAATCCTATTGACTTTGGAGCACCATTGGATGTTGTGTTGACTTTTGTAGTTTATGTCCCAGCAACTGTTGGATGAATTGCTAAATGTCCCTTAACACTGCTACTGTGACCATGTTAGCATGCTGACGTACCTAGTGCAAAGCATCTCTGTGCCTAAGTGCAGCCTCACAGAGACACTAACAAGGCTGTAGACTCTTAGGGCCCTATCTTCCACCTGGCACTTAGCACAGTGTAACTGTCAATGCTAGTTTCAGACTGATGTGATTGTCATTTTCACGGCCAGCATCCATGTTGTGTTTGTAGCAAATGTACTTGTGCCCATCTGTGTGAGGGCTGTTGAGCCCTTTATATGTGTGGTCAAGTGCATTGTTGGTGCAATGTTATTTTTAGGCAGCAGAGATCGATTGTGCCATTTACCAAAAAAAACCTGGTCTAAAGTTTATAGCACAGTATTTTCCTGCTATTTCAAAGATGAATTCTACCCTGCACCTACATGGGGGGTTCACAGTGTGTGTACACTGTCCCGCTTGTTACACACAGGGACATGAGAATGGGTTGTGGGTGGGTAAAATAATACATAATTAAACAAGAAATAATTATGTTCTCTAAAATGTCAACATAGCAGAGACCAGAGCAGAGCTGCAGAGCTGCTGTTTGACTCTCCATTAAGAGACAGGCTTTAAGGGAACAATGTTCACGTCTTTAAGAATAGCAGTTTTTCTTCTCCATTCTTTCTCCAAAATGTCCAAAAACAGCAGCAGGTTTAATTTTGTATTGAATAAGAAAGCTAGTTTTCACAGCTTCCTTTTATACTTTCCACAGAGCTTTGACTTCAGAGACCTCATTTCTCTTCACCTCAGTTGTTCTCAGACCACACTGTGCTGTCTCTTCCTGTTAAACAAGTCATGTGTACGTCACTCACTCCTCTGTGCACAGACCATTTCAGCCATCAGTGTCCTCTCTGACTCCTCTTCTGTCACACATTACACATGCTGTTTTTACTCTCAAAGTCAGAGACAGAAAGAAACGTGAGCAAGGAAATACAGAAGCATCATTTCAGATTTATTTTTTGCCAGTGAATCAACTCACACACAGACCACATATAAACCCCAACAGTAGATGAATATGATAAAGCATCAGTTCCACTCTGAGCTGCTGTTCCAGATGTTTCCTGAGTCTATCTGGTGGCAGCATACACAACATGTGGCTCCACCTCTCTCTCAGATGGAGGTCTGCGGCTTCTTTTTGGCTTTGCCTGGAAACGTAGAGCTGCGTAGTTCAGTTCATCTGAGCCCAGATCCTGTGAATCAGAGTATTTAGAGTCACATAACATATCACTCACACTGTGGAGTGAGTTTGCAAAAAAAAAATAGTTTCACAAAATAATTATTTGATCTAAGGTGATTGTTAACCATAGTTTAAGGAAGTCTAATTTAAATGCTAAAACATGATTGTCAATGGAATCCCAGCTGTGTTGGACAATTTAAATTAAGACTAAGAAAAACTCTCTCAGCCACAGGCCATAGTCCAGATTAAAGCTCACCTTCACCCAGTGACTATGTCTGAATTTTAAAATAATACTGTTTGTAACTTTATTTCAGACAATTACACACAACGGCACGGCAGAAAGGCTCAGGTTTTTTCTTTTTTCGATTGCAAAATATCATCTGTTTAACTAGTTGGAGCATTTCCATGTGTTTCAGATAGGGGAAAAAATCATCGTTGGCAAGACGGGAATAAGTTTGGCTATGACAAACATGCTCACATTCTGAGTAAGCCAAATACAGTAAGATAAGCAAAGATGAACCTTCACTGATCACTGATTTTGATACAAAATACAGTTATTCTTCAACTTAATGAGCCTCAACTGTTAGTTTAAAGTTTGAAGATCCAATGAGTCCCTTAAGTCTGAAAAGGTGATTATTACTTTTTTTTCTTGTGCACACAAGATATGAACTTGTAAAAGTATAAATTAGAACGGATAATTTTACTTTGATGCCACATGTAGCAATACAAAAGAAATCATCTGTTAAACCACCATAACACACAGTGTATTTAAGTAAATGTTGGGTTCACCTTGTTTCTCTCTGGCTGCGGCTCTTCATTCACAGCTAAATGACAAAAGACAAAAGTCTCATTCGTTAAAATTATTACTGACCATACTCAGCTTTGGATTTGTTCATCATGTGCAACAAATAATAAATCAACTGTACCTGTCTGAAGTTTTCTGATTTTAACAGCCAGAACAATGATGACTACAGTGAGGANGTTCCACTCTGAGCTGCTGTTCCAGATGTTTCCTGAGTCTATCTGGTGGCAGCATACACAACATGTGGCTCCACCTCTCTCTCAGATGGAGGTCTGCGGCTTCTTTTTGGCTTTGCCTGGAAACGTAGAGCTGCGTAGTTCAGTTCATCTGAGCCCAGATCCTGTGAATCAGAGTATTTAGAGTCACATAACATATCACACACACTGTGGCTGAGTTTGTGAAAAAAAAAATAGTTTCACAACAGAATTATTTGATCCAAGGTGATTGTTAACCATAGTTTAAGGAAGTCTAATTTAAATGCTAAAACATGATTGTTAATGGAATTCCAGCTGTGTTGGACAATTTAAATTAAGACTAAGAAAAACTCTCTCAGGACATAGGCCATAGGCCAGATTAAAGCTCACCTTTTTTTTATAGAAAAATGTCATCTGTTTGACTAGTTGGAGCATTTCCATGTGTTTCAGATGGAGAAAAAAATCATAGTTGGCAAGAAGGGAAACAAGTTTGGCTATGACAAACATGCTCACATTCTGAGTAAGCCAAATACAGTAAG